TCCATCACCTTGAGACGCAGTGAAATGTTACTGAGGGACGATTTACAAACACTGTGTAGCACATACTAAACGTGTCCGAGGTACAGCACTACAAACTGCAGGATAAACTGGCGATTCAATGGGAAATAAATTAGTCGGGAGAGAATATTCAAGGACTGCGTCCATTATCTGCAACATTATCGGTCACACTTTATTTTAAGGTCCAGTTCTCGCTATTAACAAACCATTAACTATGACTTTTGTGTCAGTAAACTCCTAATTTGCTGCTTATTAATAGTTAGTAAGGTAGTTGTTAGTTTAGGTATTGGGTAGGTTTAGGGATGGAGAACATGGTCGTGCAGAATGTGTAATAAACAGCCAATACATTAATAATAGGCATGCTAATAAGCAACTAGTTAATAGTAGATAGAGAATAGATAATTGGTCCCTATACACAAAGACAGAAATTACTAGTTACATGTTGTTTAAATGTGGGTCAAAGTCCTCTTGGTATTGAGAGCTGGCAATATTTCTTCTATAAATGTTATTAACAACCTCTCTTTTCTTACATACATTTGACTTTACAGGTTTGTTTGTAGGTTTCACTAGAGTGTATATGAGAACATTCTGTGAGTTCCATATGATTTTCTAAATAACGTTTGAAGAAAAACCTTACATACTGTACATACTAGTACATAGTACATAGGTACTTTCGCTGGTACCTGTGATCAGTGACAATAAAGGGCTCATTCATTCATTCATACTGGGCGGGTTACTTTTAAAATGTATCCAATACAGAATACATGCAGGAAAATGTGATCTGTTCTGTTTTACTCATGTATTTCTCGAATCATTCTTGTTTTTCTCAAAACAATTCGTACACAGCTTTAAACAAAAGCCTGTAACTTTCTCAAAATCCTTAATTCATCTCCCAAAAGTATTAATGTCAATGATCAGTGCCATCAGAATGACAAGCCCATGACAAGTGTCATTGTTCACAAACAACATAGTCATAATGCTTAGGCATGTTCTCAATATAACCGTGTACTCTGTCCGTATGTCCTGATATAAACTATGGCTACAGTTTTAAAAACAATGACTGAAACTGGACAGGATTTACAATTACACTTTTACCAGTCAGAGTGCAAATTACAGTAAAATGTCATTACGGTAAAGAAAAGAAAAAGACACGACTATGTATAGGCACATGTGTTTGTGTGTGTGTGTGTGTGTGTGTGTGTGTGTTAAAGTATGCATCTGTTTAAAGTATATTTATTGTAAAAAGTAAAATGCAAGTGGGCTACTGTAATAGGATGCATTACAGTAACTATTCAGTATTACAGTACGGTGCATATTGCTGAAATACACACCTGTTCTGTTCTCAAAGGTTTGAATGATTGAGTATTCAGCTGTACTTTTCGACCTGCATGCCTCAGCTATTGTAAGGTCATGAATGTGAATATGGTCCACAATAGTGACCCTTATTTCATCAGAAGCGTGCCTACATCCTTCATTTCTCTGTTTTTCATGAGATGCACCTCTGAGCAGTTTAGAAAACCAGTTGATCTGATGTTTTCCCATCATTAGTGAAATTCAAGATTCACCTGCACACTTCATCAATTCAGGACACATTTAAAAATAAATAAGTCTAATAGATGTGTATAGAATATATGTTTGACAGATTGTGACAGCTAGCATTTTGCATTAAAATGCATTAGAAAATAAATGATTTGTAGCGGTATAAACAATGCTAAAGGCTAAAACGTTTCTCATAGATGTACTTTAATCATTTAAAAATGTCATAGACAGACAAACTGTTGTCTTGTGTATACTGGATTCATCTTTCATCTGCCAAAGCGTTTCTAACTGCTTATGTTCAGGTGTATGAATGGAGACTTTCCACTATTCCTCTATAAAATTCCCAAGAAGAAATTCCTCATGGAAGTTATATCCTCCTGTCCAGGGCCGTTTCTAGCCAATTTGACTCCCTAGGTGAAATCCCTATTGCCCCCCAACCCACCCCCCCACCACAATTATATATATATAATTCTTTTCAGACACCAGTTGCTTGTAACAAATTGGTTGTCATAGTAACGACACTAATTTGTGGAGATTCAGTGCATTGAGTTCCACAAATCTGAATGCATTATTTGTTAATTGACTGTTAAGATAAACATTTTGCACAATTTAGCATCTGTAATATCATTGTGTTGCCACTAGATGCTGTATAGCCCGATGTAACAATCCCTAGTGACTAAGACATTGCACATAAATCACACATAAATTAATTTTATTACATTTTGATTTGGATACTATATACTATACTATAACATATTGTTTAGATATTATCAATGGCTACTTTTTTGTCTTATTAAAGTTTATATGGGAATATTACATGACACGCTGATCCTTTAACAATGCATTGGCGCAAAAAACGCACACCTTTTGGACAAATGTGCCACAAATACTGCCTAAACAAAATTTATTTTTATTTACTGTACCAATATTTTAAATTGGCCTTTGAACTTAGCTTTATTGCATGGCAAAAAAAAGTGTTACCTTGCCAAAGCACTGACAGAGCCCACTGATCTAATGGCGTTGTTGAGCGCTCCAAATGCAAACTTTGCATGCAACAATCAGGCAGAGATTGACAGCACTCTGATCTAGTGGCATACAGGCATCGTCAGATTGGCAGTACTCTAGCCCAATAATGTTGGGGGATCCAGTGGGGGCGGCAGTCATATTTCAGGGTGACCGTGCCACTCTTTATCACAACCCTGCTAAAAGTGCCAGTACGTGTGCTCATTGGCACCCCTTCAGCTGGTGGTGCCCTAGGCGACCGCCTAGAAACGGCCCTGCTCCTGTCACTCATAACAGCGCCTATTCACATGCAGAAATTTAACACACATCATGAAAGAGTGTTCACCGCTGCTCAAATGCTCCTCGCAGCGCACATCACATCCGATTGTATTTTATACAATCCCTATTGTATTTTAAAGGCATAACGCTGTTATATTCTGTGTTAATGACAGTAAATTACATCACAAGTTTAGCAGTATGATTGAAAATGTGACGGGTCTTAGAGCGAATGACAGCTGACGCACTGCGGTTACACAAAACCTGGCAGGATATTCTTCAAATATGTAAATCTGAGAACAACAAAACAGCTCCGAGAGAATAAAGAGCTGAACTCCTTTGGTCGGACTGCACCGTTTAGTGACAGATGAGATTGCATTGGACACTAGCTCTCTAATGAACGAAGAGCTAAATGGCCCCGGAAATAATATCCCAGATTTTAATAACCAATGAATCATGCTCTAAAATAATTGGCTAATTGCTCTTTGCTCCAGAGAAAGGAGATGAGAGGTTATGTAATGCCAACTACCAGCGCACAGCCAACAAACCATGCGCTAAAAGATCCTGAAGTCAAGCTGAGTGATGAGAGAGCGAGAGAGAGAGAGATGAGAGATGAGAGATGAGAGATGAGAGATGAGAGATGAGAGATGAGAGATGAGAGATGAGAGATGAGAGAGATGAGAGAGAGAGATGAGAGAGAGAGATGAGAGAGAGAGCGAGAGAGAGAGAGAGAGAGAGAGAGAGAGAGATGAGAGAGATGAGAGAGAGATGAGAGAGATGAAAGAGGGAGAGAGAGAGAGAGAGAGACAGAGAGAGAGAGAGATGAGAGAGAGAGAACGAGAGAGAGAGAGAGAGAGAGAGAAGAGCTATGAAATTAACTTCTTTCCCCAGGCAGCTCGATATTTACTGGAGTAGTTAATAGTTTGGAGGAAGGCAGTACTTCAATAAATCCTAATTAGTTTCTCATTATTGGTAACATTTTCATGTCAAAAGTATATCTGTGTGTCAGCTGGGTCAACTGTATTTCTTACATACCTTCAAAGAGTTCTCAGTTATAAGTATTTTGTCTTGCCCATTTATCACTATATGGACAAAAGCATGTGGGACAGCTGACATTACACCAACAGGGACGTTAATGATTTATGAAATATGGATTTTAATTTTTATTTTTTTCACTTAAAAATTCAGTGTGTATGCCTAAAGAAAAGCTGAAAGTACATGTATAACCTAAAGAGTAGAAAATAAACAACAACATCAAACTATAATAAATTACATTAATTTTATTCTGCTTTTTTTCTAGATCTAAAGCCTTATTTGGTTCCGAACAGTTTCATCAGGTGATTTAAATTTGTTTTAATTATGCTATAAAACCTTGGTAACTGTGGTGACTCTCTGAGAAATCGAAACGAATTAGGATAGGAATTTTTGTGATGGCAGTATGCATTTTTCACAACCCTTCCCATAATTTATTTTGACCGCAATATCATAAGTCAAGCTAAATTACACATCGTGTTGCTCGGTTCACATGGACATTTTATGCCAACTTTTAAGTACTACTGGCTATCTGACATTAAAAAAATTAATCAACAAGTAACTTCTCATCACGGACTATTCAGAACGGTCTCTGTAGTAACCGTGTCAGATGCAATCCTCATCTTAATTCATTTGTTCCTTTAATTATACACATAATGTTGTAATTGTATCGCATATATATATAAATCTTGTCTATTTCAATCAGTTTGGTGTTGTCCACATCTAAAGAACATGACTGTTCCGAATTGTTAAAAAATAAATAAATAAATAATAAACTCTAAAATAATACAGTGTTTTAATTGCACTGATTTACCTGAAAATCAAGAGCGTCTGTTCTGTGTATTTTGTGTACGCTTTGGCAAAATACTAAATGAAAGATTTACCATTTTTAGAAATGATTATTAGGTGATAAATATATGCTTATAAATTGAATAGTTCTGGTCCTTGATTCTGATTGGTTGAGCTGCGTTCGAAGCTGTTGTAAATTACTCTACAAAGCAACATACAGTGAATTTACAACAGCTAAGGGGGTTTTAGGCATTTCGCGTCGTACCTAACAACGCCCCTTAGCTGTTATAAATTCACTGTAAACCACGGCTTCACGGGCTTCTTGCTTTATTTTGAATTGTTACCTGAGCCCATAAAGCACAGTGCCATCTGGATGGAGACGGATCATTCTGTTCTTCACTGTCACACCATGTACAAACGACTTCTTGTCGTTTAGGAAGTATGTGTCTGGCACCCACAGCTGATCGGCTACCCGGTTATCCAGCGTCAGGTTAAGAGGAATCTCAGAATAGGACAGACGCTTGTCTCGCCAGGCTTGCTGGAAATACATAGTCAGTGTGTAGTCCTGAAAAATAAACCATACACAGAAGAAAGATAAATGGGTTACCAGGTCTAAGGGAAATATCACAACATCAAAGAAAGGAGGGTATATTTTAAAATCTTTTGGGGATTGATATTACATGACTGGCTTTACAATTTGATGATGCAATGTTAAAAGCACAATAGTGCACATCAGGTTAAAAATGAGTGTTAAGGGGCTGAGATCTATAAGGAAAACCCAGGAGACGAGTACAGGTATAATGAGAAAGGAGAGCACACTGAACAAAACAGTATATTAATTAACCTTTTCAATCACTCTTTAAAGACAGAGTTCACCCCAAAATGCCCTCATGTCATTAAAAACCTGCATGCTGATAATTTTGGACTGTCGAATATCTCATTAACCTTCAAAACTGCAATGACACTTTTTGCATAAGCATTTCGAAACACAAAGCATGCATCAAATGTTCCTTATTAAATGTAAAAAATAATAATAATAATAAAATTGCAGCAGACTCAATGCTTTCCTTGATATTCTCAAAAGTGTAAACACTGAGCCTTCCAGGCCCCATCAAAACATTTAGAGTGGTCCACTCCGATCTGTCAGTCTCTTTCCAGCTCAGCCAATAGCGAGAGTTTGGGGCGTGGCTACTGTAGCAGGCTGAGCCAGAGAGTGTTTAGCCATGGCTGACGCGTCACATGAGAAAAGAAACTGAGATTTGGTAAGAGAAATGCATGGTATAATTCAGGTACAACAGTAAAAGAGCTAAACATTTATTGTAAGATAATCTGAACTATTTGCAAATAATATATATTTTTCAAAAATATGCACATTCATTCTTAATCCTATGCCTAAAATGTAGAAAACGGCTCTGTTAATGTTTCTTATCTCGTCATATTCAATTATGAACTACACAAATCACATAAATATATATATATCGGCTTGGGGTTAATTTATCACAGTTTTGAAAGTAAGTTAGTATCAATAATGTAGCTATAGTTAAATGAGAGGAATTCACTGTTGTAAGTATTTCCTTGTCCTTATTACAGTGGATAGCTGTACACGTACATTTGTTGATGCTGTAAAGCAATTCACCCTTTTGAGGAAAATGTTGTGCCCGCTCACTAAACTTAGATAGAAATTATGTTCTCTCAAATAAAGTCTTAAAAAGTTGCTTAACCCTTTATCATTAAAAGAGACTGTGAAAAAAATCTGTCTGCGGCACAGGGTGTTAAACGCCAGTCCAGTGCATGATTTTTTTTCTGTTTACATGCCGAGAAACCCAATCTCAGTTTTGCTCTCTTGCTGTAACTATCATTATGAAATGCCATGCAACACCAGGCAGGCTTTCATGGCTTTCTCTTTCTGTCCTTAAAGGAAGTTCTGGAAAGTTTAGAAAGATATCGAGTCTCTGGGATTTAGTGAGTTTGTTTTGTATGATCAGCAAGGCTTCTTAAGGTTCTAAGCTTCTCCTCATAATTATTTTATCAGTGCAGGTATTGGGATACTGGAGGAAGCTGTCTTCGATCTAATCCATTTACTCCAGCTAGAAGTTTGAGTGTGGACTGGGAAAGCTATATACAGTATTTATATATATAATGTATATATATACAGTGGGTACGGAAAGTATTCAGATCCCCCTTAAATTTTTCACTCTTTGTTATATTGCAGCCATTTGCTAAAATCATTTAAGTTAATTTTTTTTCCTCATTAATGTACACACAGCACCCCATATTGACAGAAAAACACAGAATTGTTGACATTTTTGCAGATTTATTAAAAAAGAAAAACTGAAATATCACATGGTCCTAAATATTCAGACCCTTTGCTGTGACACTCAAATATTTAACTCAGGTGCTGTCCATTTCTTCCGATCATCCTTGAGATGGTTCTAC